AGTGACTAGCATAAACCTACATGCTAGGCTACAATGAGACGGAAGGAAAACTACGTTTCTTTTTTATCGAACTTTTATCGACCCTCTTTTTTTCTATTGCGCCACACGTCTATCGATCGATATATATCGTTATTGAATTATCGCCCAGCCCTACTGTCACCTACTGGTTTGTGACATCACGGTGCGGCATCGGCTGTTGATCAAGTCCCAGTGCTGTATCTGTTGTTTGTCACAACGCGCTATTATCCAAGTCATCTTGAAAACATTCTTCTTCCAAATATTGGCTACATATTACGTGTTTCACTATAGCTCTGGTGAATTTCAATGGTGAAGTCCTCTGGAAATCTTCAATAATCGTTGTTGATTGCAGATGTGTCTCGTAGTGATTTTGCTTGTAAAGCGGGGAGAATGGCGCTAGGCTTACCGCACCGTGACGTCACTGCCGGAAGATGGCAGGAGAGAGGGGTTACTATATTTGGGCAAAAAATGGCCGCTCCCAGACTCAGTGAAAATTATTGTTTTTATTTTTTACTGATTAACACTAAATTCATTAAATCTCTGTGGACATATTTATTTTATCCAATGGAATATTAGGGCCAGGCTAGAAATATATATATATTTTTTATATTTCCAGAATAAAGTCTTGAAATGATGATAATAAAGTCGTAAAGTTACGAGAATAAAGTTGTAATATTATGAGAATAAAGTCGTAAACAGACAGCATGTTGAGAGTCTTGTGAAGTTATACTTTATGATTTAATAACTTTTCATAATATTATGACTTTATTTTCAAAATAGAAAAAAAAAAGAAAAAATCTTTATCCTGGCCCTGATACTACATTCACACCTAAAGCAGCAGAAGCAGCTGGTTTACATGCAGAGTCAATGATTGATGCACATCAAGGTGCAAACATAACTGCTGGATATCAACCAATCAGAGAAGCTGATCTGGGAGCTGGCAGGGAGTCAGACACAGCACTGCTGATGCAGAGCGCTATGATCCCTCCTCTGAAACAGTTTATTAACGCCTAAATTAACTTAGAATGTAGAAACCTGCCAGCAGAATATGTTCACTTTTATTATCCTGCTGCCTGCAGTTTGGAGCACAGACCTGAAAAAGGCTAACATCTACTTCCAGCCGCCACCAACAGTAGGGGAAAACCCCCAAGAGGCCAGCGGGCCTGAGGCAGCTGCTGCTGGGGATTCCCAGTGACAGCGTCCCGCCAGTATGTGGGGGTCTGAGCGGCTCCCACAGAGAAATAATCTTTGAAGGCAGGATGGTAATCTGGATGAACTGACTGAACAGACCATGTTTTCAGATGGACTTTCACACCTCAAAATAGATTCAAACTACTTTTTACCCACTGATAACAGCAAATATAGCTGCCATTGTTCCAGGCAAAGAAAGGATAGGGAAGCTCCGCCCAATGCGCAACAGACCCACTTTACCACCGCTCAGCTAGAGCAGCTGAATGCTTCAGCCGCGTCAGAACTAAACTAAAAGCATCAGAACTGAATAATGACTCATTGATCATTCCTTGCTGACCGGACTTTTCCTTAAAATAAAAATTACATATCATGCTGCTGGGACAGGAAATGAAATCATTTATTTATATTTCTCTATAGTGGTGTTTTTATTGAGCATTTATTTATTTCTGTATTTATTTTTAAATATGGCGGAATTGGTCCTACATAGGTTTTTATTAACCAAGTTTCAAAGATGGCCGTTACTCTTTGATCTCGTTCGGAATGTGTTCGGACCTCAGAGGCATTCTGTCATGATTTAAGATTACTCCCGGCGAGGACCACGTGACGAGGTGGCCGAGTGGTTAAGGCGATGGACTGCTAATCCATTGTGCTCTGCACGCGTGGGTTCGAATCCCATCCTCGTCGGTTTCCTTTTTCTCTCCGTATTTTCACAGAAACTCCCTTACCGCGCTTTTTCTCGCTTTTTATTTGACAATGGCTGCTTGACCCGACCCACTCTGATTTCTTATTGGTCAACACCAACTTTCTGTTTCCTAGCAACAGCAGTGGAGCCGCACGGAGCCCGATAGTGAGTTTGGGCCCAGAGTTCGGCGCCGTCAGCTCCGCTCTGAGGCCGAAATGCAGGCGCCCAGAGCGGCTGTGAGCGTGGAGGTGAAGCGGGTGATCGGAGCTCTCTGCAGGCTGTTGGCGGCCCTCGGTGTGCAGCCTGTCCCCGCGCCGGAGGCCTTCAGACGGGCAAAGTTCGGAGGAAAACCCGAGGTGGGCTCAACAGGGACCGGTTCTGATTCTCCTCTGAGCGCTTATCTTCCTTTACTTGTAAAGGAAACAGATACAATCTATAATCTACAAAGAGAAACTTTTCAGAGAAAGTATGGAAGCCGATCAGGGCCAAACCACAGGACGCGATGAGCAGTGGAGCAGCACTAGAATATATCATTTAACTCCTTTTTTAGAGTGATTTATCAGAACCATTGGATTTAAAATTAGTTTTTCTTTGATCAGGAATTTTTCCTAATGATTAAAAAAGAAGTTATTCCTCATTTTCCTAAAATTAGCAGTAGAAGATGATAAACTTTTTCTAGACGGCAATAAACAAAGTTATAGAAATTAATTCACTTATTTAATGAACTCAAATGTATGGAATTTATAAGTGTGATATCTAAAACATAAGATTGAGTTTTAATAGATTATTGCAGGACCTCAGTAAATGTTTCTGATTTGGATGCTATAAGGTGTTTTTTTCTCTGCTTGGAGCTCCTCTGGGTTCAGACCACAGCGGAACCACAGAGCCTTCCACTCCTGTTCTTTGTTAAATTAATATTAATTGAGATTAAATGTAACCAGAAGGTCTAAAAATCAACATTTCATAGCCTTCTGGAGCGTGTGGAGATCTTTGTCTGTTCTGACTGAGGTCGTTTCTGCAGGAGGAACCGTTCTGGCAGCTGCTCTGCAGCATCCTGCAGACATCAGGGATGGTTTCCTGTGAGAGCAGCTCCCTGCTGACAGGAGGTCAGTCTGCAGCTCATCCTGAACTCCTGCTCAGACCAGCAGAGACGGAAACATCTTCCTCTGCTTTCTGTTGCACCCAGTAAAGCTCCTGTCGCACCTTGATTATTTAGACCAGCATATGCCTGATGTATAAAACACCTGGGTGAAACGCTGGCATACGTTGGATAAGTTCTGAGCACGCTGAAACACGCCGGTATACGGCGAGAACGTCGAATGCTGAATGCCAGCGTCTGCCATCCGTGAGCCGTCAGTTCCAGGTCAGTTATCTGATGGTTGACAGACGTTCAGTTCCTCATCAGTCGTGGCGTCTAGCTTATCCTAAACTTCTCAGTAACTTGTGCATAACTTGTCAAGAACTTCTCTCCACCACATATCAACGTATCTGACCTGTTCCAGACGAGCGCTGAACGTGTTTCTACCTTCCAGCTACTGTATAATGGCGTATTGGCGGCGTTTTGGTATAAAGGGGGTTCACAGGAGGAAACTGTCATTTCTCCTCCAGACTTCATCCCCTTCATAGGGTGAGCCAGAAGGTGAGTGTGATGGATCCTCCCTGCGTTCACGCCCACCACCAACAAACTTCTAAAAATCCTAGCAGACATGACGCTCACTCTGCTGCCACCAAAAACCTTCTTTCTTTCTTTTTCTTTTTTCTTTTTTTAGCAGCTAGGTTAATATGGTGATCAAACACATTTTTTTCTGCAGGCCGGGCGCCTCTGGGCCCATCGCTGCCCCCCTCAGGTCACTGTGCATCATTTCCTGGGCATTACGCTGCCGTGCGTTATGCAGAAGGTAGGCTGTAGTTGGACAGAAGTTCTGGACTCGTTATGAATACTCTGTTTACGCCCAGAATAGAAAAAATCCATAGAAAGTTCAGCGTATGCCAGCGTTTTAGGAGATTCTGGGATGTCAGGCAGACACTGGAGAAATGAACAAGGTGTAACGGGACTAAAGAACCTGCGGGATGCAGGTTTGGATCATGAGAACCTTGATGCTCTGCAGCTTTGGGTCCAGTTGTCTTTGGTTTGTTCCCCTCAGAGACCAGGAAGCTGGTGGCTGTGGGCCTGTGGCAGAGCGGTTACCACGGTGACTGGATGTACGATGGAGGCAGCTGCTCCAGCACGGACCTGCTGCTGGCGCTGGGCTGGCTGCTGGCTAGAGGAGCCCTGGAGAAACTGCTGAGCAGGCGGGTAGAGTGTCTGGACCCAGCGCTGCTGACGTCCGCTCCGGTAAGGATGGGAAAGCAGGAGCGTCTTCCTCTCCTCATGCATCCTGGTAACTCTGAATGTTTGTGTTCAGCAGAAGCCAGAGTTTTCCGGTGAGGTGGATGCTGCGTCGCTGAGGAGACTGCAGTGGCTGACGGGTCGTCTGAGACATCAGGGTCGGACTCTGCTCGCCGCCGTTGGAGCGCGAACGCAAGCGCTGCATGATGTAAGGAGCAAGAGAAATCCAGAGCTGCTAGCTGCTAATGCTAACAGGGTTAAACAGCATCAAACTAAAGATGAAATGAGTCAAACATCTGGTGAAGGTCAGGGGAAGAGTGCGACAGGAGCGGCACCACCGAGTGGCCTGGAGGACCAGTCAAGCATTTTATTCCTTTTGGAAAACTTTTCTCTGATCCGTAACAAACTGTTGGTTTTTCCTTGTTTAATGAATGAAAACCTTCAATTGGTCACAGAAATAAAAAACATTAATAAAACAAAATTCTATGAAGAGAGGAAATTAAGACTGTGGGCCTTTGTTAGGTGGCATGGTGTGTACCGCACTCAACATGGACCAGAGAAAGCCTGCTGAGAGGAACAGGAAGCGTAGATAAACAACAAAATATTTAAAGGAACAATTGCTTTGGTCCAGGCCTGTTTATGAGTTTATTTTTAATTTTCTTCTGCTGGAGCCTGAATTAATGTCTGACTTTCATTAGTTTGTTTTCATGGAATTTTCATTTATTATTATTTCTGTCAGATTCAAATTTCTGTGACAATTGTGGGTTTTTCAGTCTTTAAATGAGGAGAAAATCAGTCTGCTTCATGTGGATATTTAGATATATATATATATATATATATATATATATATATATATATATATGTAGCGTATATATGTAGCGTATATATATAAATATATATAAACACAGTGGTTATGCTATTTCTGCCAGACGCGCACCGACATCAGATAGAAACTAAATGTCGTGTTTTATTATCTTCAAACCAGAATCATCGACTTGAACACAGAAATATTTCTGGTTCGTATTTTAATTAATAAAAGTGAGGATAATTAGAGGATCTCTGGTTTGTAGAGAATTAGCTTCTGAGGATCTAACAGGAAATGTAAAGAGAATAAAGTGTTGAATTAAAGATGAGTTTTATTTTCTTCCTCAGGTCCTTTTTACCAGCCAGCTTTCCTCTGCGGCTCCCTCTGCTGGCCAAAGCTCTACGGCGCTCACAGAGGTTTGTACGTTACTGGGAACACTGGTTTTATTTTAGTCTCCTGGTTCAGAGAAACCAGAGCCTGCTGTTGCAAAGCTGGTTCTGCTGCCTGGGAATGGGATTCAATTCTATGCAGTTTATTTCTATAGCTCCAATTCATATCATGTCATCTCAGGTCACTTTCCAGTTTGCTGTTCTGCCGATCATCCAGTCAGATTGATTCAAAGTTTTCTATCTAAGGAAAACCAGCTGATTGCATCGACTCATTGACTCTTCAGCAATCCCTCACATTAAGCATGCTTGTAGCGACAGTGGAGAGGAAAAACTCCCTTTAAACAGGAAGAAACCTCCAGCAGAAGCAGACTCAGTATGAGCGGCCATCTGCTGAGGCCGACTGGGGTTCAAGGAGACAGAAGCAGACATAGAAAAAGAAGCATAGATACACCCTTTCAGACTCTGGCCTGCAGGGTTAACAAACTCAGACTCCAATCCTCTCTGATCTATCCTGAGGCTGCTGTCAGTTAGTTTAATCAACTCTGAGTCGACTGAAAAGCCATTATCAGTAGAGCCCTGATTCAATGAGTCACCATGACAACAGGTCATGCCTATTTCACACCACTGGAGCTAGAAATACTAAAGCAGAATGAAGAAAATGTTGGAGACCATTTTTAAAAGAAAGAGCAAGAGCTTCTAAGGAGAAGGAGAAGATTGCTGCCGATAAAAGCATAGTTTATATAAATTGGACAATGGCAGGCCGTTATTACATTTAATCTTATGACTCTCCTCTGTACTGTTCCATCTGTAGGCCACTAAAAATGTTTCTGGTCAAAATCACTCTCCCAGACTGAACGGTAATGACATTATTTTGAAATAACATTTTTGCAGCCGAAACTAAATTTCAGAAAGTGAAACAAACAAAATTATACTAGTAAGAATTGAGTTTTATATGGAAATGTTTCCATATTTTAAGTGGCAGTTTTGACATTTATCAGCTTGACTGAATATGTGTTTATGATATCTGAAGTGTATTTCTGCAAAATAATAGAAATGATAAAGTAATAATAGCAATATGGAGATCTGAATTTATTTCTAGACAAACATTATATATAATATTTATTCTAGATGTGAAGAATTGAGAAAGAAAAAATGTTTTAAGGGATACATATTCAGTCAAACTAATAAATATCAAAACAGCCTGCCAGTTGCTTTGCTGCTCTGGTTGTTTATCTGCTCTGTTCTTTAGCTTCCAGCTTGACAGCAGCTCAGCTTTATTTACTTTATGAGTACTTTACGAGTATACTTTAAGTGAGAAATTCCACCTCCAAACGTCCTCTGTTCGTCAGTTAATCAGGATTATAATCCCACTATAATCTGCAGTTCTTGTTGGGAGCTCCAGACCTCCACCGCCGATAGGCAGTGCTGGAAATCCCCGCTGGAAGCTCTCTGCTGCAGCCAGCCTGTGGGGGATTTCCTGCTGCCGCTCGTAGCGGCTGGAAGTGAATAGAAAGAGTTTTTGAGGTTTAGAGTAAAACTGAAAGAAGCAGAATATATAATCCAATATTTTTTATCAGCAGGTTTGAACATTTCTGGTAAATTTGGGGATTTATCAACTGTTTCTCCATAGTTCATAAAAATGTTTTAGTGCAGCAATAATGATCAGAGCTGCTCTCTGTTCCTTTTACATAACAATCCATTCTACCTGCTTTATTTAACCTTTGGAGTTTAACTCCTTGATATTTATTTATTATTCATCTGCAAAAAAACTACTGGATCAGCTTTTCTGATTGGTTGATGCTCTGACACCTCAACGCTCAGATTGCGCCTTTCCTGATGCTCGAACGCACCGCTGTTCCCCTGACGACGTCTCCCATAGACTTTGCATGTAAACTAGATGCTTTGGCGCCCAGAATGCGCCCGGTGCGAACGCAGCGTTAAACGTTTTATTAGGAAGGACCTGATCACCGTCTCCTGGGTTCCTCCTCATGTTGGTCTTCCTGTAAATTCTCTGTCTGTCTGACTAAGCAGGTGTTTTCTATGATGCTGGTATCAATGTTTTCTCCCTGATATAATCCAGTTCTGGTAAAGAAGTCTGGAATGCTGCTAATGAGGACGGATCAGTGGTGCAGTGGGTAGCAAGAAGGTTACAGGTTTGATTCCTGGCTCGGGGTCTTTATTATAGGGATCCCAGAGGATGCACTGGAAAACGATCTAGAAATAAGTAAAAAATGTCTTATATTAAGTGTATTTATTCTTAAATTGAGTAGGTAAATGAGATAGTTTGCCAATGGAATTAGTATTTAAAATAAGATAATTAGATAATAAGCACTTGAAATAAGACAATGCAATTGTGTTTTCTTATTTTAGGTGGAAATTGTCTTGTTCCATTTTCAAAATGTCTCCTTTACCTCCTCAGTCCAAGAATAAATGCACTTACTTTAAGAAAAAATTACTTCTGTAGATTTCGATTTTTTTTCGAGTGTGTGAGTTCGAGCCCCACTCCCACAGACTGCCACTCTGGGTCCCTGAGGAAGCCCTTAACCCCACCCTGCTCCCCGGGCGCCGCACAATGGCAGAACACTGCTCCCTGAGGGGAGGGGATAAATGTAGAGTTTATTTCGTTGCTCTGTGACGGTGGGATGAGAATAAAAAAGTGAAATAAAAAGGATCTGGTCAGGATGTCTGACAGATTGGGAGGTGAAACTCTGAGAAAGATTTTTCTGAATATAAAGACGCGGTCTTCATTCCCTGAATTAATGGCGCTCAGTCTTTGATTGGATCCTAAAGGACAGGAGGTGTTTGATTTTAACACCTAACAGACCTTCTGACTGAGCTCCTTTATGTTCTCACAGAACTCCGATAGAAATCCTACTGAATCAGAAAATAAAACATCGGGGGCGGAGCCAGAGGACTGAGTTTATGGAGGAAAACCTGATGACCAGGTTAGCCTGCGAGAGTGTTACCATGGCAACAGGCTCAGAGGTTGAAGAAACGGGCTGATTAGACCCGGCCGGGTGTTTAGTCTGCTGGTTCAGCTGCTGGATGTTTTCCCTGCGCAAATTTAACTTTATCGCTGCCACCTAGTGGTAATTTTTATATTGACTTCCAATCAATTAAAACCTGTAGCCCAACGAAGGTTTACCAGCTAATATTCTATGGCACTGAAGCTGGTTAATCTAAAGCTGTTCACTTCCTGGAGGCAACAAGGAGCTATAGAATAGAATAGAATAGAATAGAATAGAATAGAATAGAATAGAAAATCCCTTTATTGTCCCTCAATGGGGAAAAATGTATAAGAAAAAACATAATAGTGAAGAGTTAAAAGATAAACTTTAAAATACTGCAAAGTTTTTTAACAATATCAAACTGGAGAATAAATTACCAATATGCAGCTATGGACATTTTTCAAGTAATGGATATTTGAAACTAGCAGCAACATCAGAGATGTGCAAAATGACAGCAGCATATTATTTAACTGACTAAGATAGAAACTGTGCAAAATCGGCATGAATGGAACAACTGATTGAGGTTGTTGGGAACAGTGGTGGTTATAAAGTCTTCCAGCTGCTGAGAGGAAGGATCTGTGATAACGCTCCCTGGTGCATTTAGGGTGCAACAGTCTGTCACTGAAGGAGCTCTCCACTTCAGCACCAGCTTCATGCATGGATTATCCAACAGAGATGTTCATTTAGTTGGGATCCGTCTGTTTCCCACCTCCTGCACTGAGTCCAGAGGGCATCCAGTCACAAAGCTGGCTTTCCTGATTAGCTGATCCAGACGCTTCCTCTCAGCTATAGATGAGCAATTGCTCCAACAGACAGCTCCATAGAAGATGGCTGATGCCGCAGCAGGAGCGCCCCCTGCAGTCTGCTGTGACCTTTCTGATCCAGAGCCTCAGTGTTGGGAGTTCAGTCTGTTAGCTTCAACACAACAGAAAAGAGTAGAAAGTCCTTCATTGTTCCTCAGTGGGACAACTTAGGCGTTTCAGCAGCAGTTAGGGAAACTAGAGCTGCTCCGATTGAAGAAATATGAAACTGAGAAGCTTCACATGTAATAAGAAGAATGAAGAACCTGAACCAGCAGCAGGAGGTGATAAGCTGGAGGAGAACTCCAGAAGATGGAGGCCACAGAAGGTCACTCACATGCCCTGTTCTGTTGGTTCCACATGTGGTTTTATTTAGATGGTAGGAAAAAAGGCTTTTAAAGTCAAAAATAGTTGAATTTAGTGTTTTAATTTGTAGGAGGAGACAGGAAGTCATCCTCAGCTCATTTAGGGAACCTGGTTGTTTCAGGACTGCGATCGTCTCCAGCAGCTGTGCGACCTCCTGGACGCCTACGTGAGCTGGAACCAGACGGAGAAGGTTTTCTGGACCTGGATGGTGGGTCTGTTCCCAGCAGAACCAGAAAGCCGCTGCGCTCTTCTGCTTGCTCCGTTCTAACCCTGTTCCTGCAGGACAGCGTGGCCGACCGCCGCTTCAGCAACCTTCAGGTCAGGACGCCCCCTAGGCACGCCCGGCAGAGTTTGGCGACCTGTTACCATGGGAACCCGATGCTGGCCAAGATGGAGGAGATGCTGAGGAGACTGCCTGACACACAGGTACCACGTCTACAGCTTAGAGCTTCACATTTCTGATTCGGTTTGAATATTTAGATCAAAATGAGCTGCAGAGCTCTGCTGCTACCAGGATGCGTTCAGGTGCCTGAGGAAAAATGAGCGTTACGCTAAAGTTTGACTCACCCTGCTGTGAAAAAGTGAGGCAGCAAAACAAACTGTTTTAATTGGAAAATATCAACTACAGACATCCCCAGTTCCAAAAACTCATTTCAGGGAGATGCTTTAACACTCACACACACCCGGAGACAACGGCCCCGCACCGGCCCCGCACCGTGCCCCATAGATACACACTTCAGGCCAGCAACTTCTCAGCAACTGTTTATTAACTAACAGTCATTTCTTAAACACTAAACAGAACAGTATTGGTCTTTTGATTTCAATACTTTCAATCTCGTAGTCTTGAACATCGCTTGTGCTTTCTGTTTTTCATGGAACTTCAGCATACAGTGCACCTCGCCACAGTGTCATCGTTCCTCACCATGGCCGGTTCTAGACGGGGGCCAACGGGGGCCAGTGCCCCTGTAGCTCATGTCCTGGCCCCTATACTGAAAACATAATACTTAAAAGAAATTCTAACGATGATCTACGCTGGAACAGACATGGTTACTGATAGGTCCTTTGGATCTATTTCATTCTTTTATTTACAAATTTTGTTTTACTAATTATTCAAAAACAATAAGGTGATAGCTTCAGTTGTATTGAGATAGCATCCCAGTTTTCATCTGCCACATTTTTTTTGTTTTTCACAACAAATAAAAAAAATGCTCAGATTTTTTCTGATGAATTTAACAGTTTTTCTTGAGTTCTAATTCAAATTTTATAAAAAACAGTAATTTTAACTTAAATAAAGTCAAAAATATGTAAAATTCCTAAATAATAAATGTATATTGACCTAATAAGAAATAGAATTTTTATTGAACCTAATTGAAAAGAAATTTCCCTTCATGCAGCTCTCTTAATATATTTGAATCTCTTGCCCTGTTTTTTATTTCATGCTTTTCTGGGCCCCCATGAAAACACACTAGCCCCCTCCTGGCCCCTGATACATTTAGTCTAGATCCGCCACTGTTCCTCACCTTCAATAGACGTGGATATACTTTAGTATATTCTGCTGTAAAATCAGTCCTATATTTTCGTTTTTTTACTCGAGGATTCACCCTCTGCCGTTTCCCAGGATGCACAGCTTTGAGTGGTAACTAGGTGACTGTTAGAGAGTAACCAGAGAAACTTATCGGACTGATCCAATCAGCTCTCTGATCAACCAGTCGCCTGGAACGCTGGTTGAACAGAGCATCGCTTTGGACAGATACACTGCACAGATTTTACCAGCAACCTCCCCACGCAATCCAAACCCCGTTGTTCCTGGGCAATCGCAGTAGTTCTAATCCACACATGATGCAGGAATTATCGTACTGCCTGCTCGCTCTCACTCGCATTAAAAAACTCCTCCTGCCAGAGTTTAAAATCTGGGATAATTTATCCGACTTGCGGATATCCGTGAACAACTATCGATATTAGGGAGACTCCCGGAAGTTCCGGGAGACTTGGGATGTCTGCAGCTATGAGGCACAAAACTCACCTAAATACACTGAAAAATAATGTTTTCATTACTTTAAATTTTTTAAATCGTATTAAACTATTCAGAATAAATCCCATTCAGACCCAAACAGTAACATAACGCACCTGAGAGAATAACAGAAACATCATCTGTCAGCGTTAAACTCCTGAGAGCAGCATAGATTTATTGGTTCATCAGCAGATTAACGAGGATTAGAGATCAATCAGGTTCTCAGCAGCCATCATAGATCTCTGCATCACCGGGGGAGGGGGCAGTGGAAGCATAGGGGGGGTTAGAGAACCTGCTGGGACATGATGATGATGATGATGATGATGATGATGATGATTATTTTTTGCAAGTCCAAGTCAAGTCTTGAGTATGCCTGTTGCAATAATTGATTAATCTCACAATAAATTCTAATCTAATATAATCCACCAATCATCCATCCAGGGATGCCCAGGCATCAGTCTGACCTGAGAGACTCGGTACCAGTCAGACCCTAGAGACTCGGTACCAGTCAGACCCGAGAGTCTCGGTACCAGTCTGACCCGAGAGACTCGGTAACAGTCAGACCTGAGAGTCTCGTTACCAGTCTGACCCGAGAGACTCGGTAACAGTCAGACCTGAGAGTCTCGTTACCAGTCTGACCCGAGA